GTTGCTGTTGCTGTGTACAGTGTTCTCCTGGTTCTACTCATTTCACTGTGTATCAGTTCAAATAATTCTTTCCATCACCTGGACATCTTAAAACTGATTTTCTTGAATGGACCAGAGTACACCCTAAAGCACAAGTAGGGGGAAGCCTAAGCCAAGGATTCAAGTCAAGGAAGATTTAGACGGAATCTTTCTACAAAATCTGTTTCTATGACCTCCTTGCCTCCCTTCCCACCTCTCCCTAACCCACCTTTCTTAGCATCACAGATTTAGAGCTGAAGGAGTTAGATCAGGAGCTAGGAGGAATCTTGAAAGTCATCAAGTCCAGCTCCCATCATTTTACAGATGAGAAAATCGAGGCAGAGGGAGGTAAAGTATGTGTCCAGGGTTAAAGAACTAGTAAGTATCTGAGGATGAATTGTGCCTGAGGATGAATTTGAACTGGGTCTTCCTTACTGCAGATCCAGTATTCTAACTAATTCACTGTCCACCTGCCTTACATAAGCAGCTGCTAAATTAATCTTCCTAATGCTTGGGTACGGCATTGTTGATACCCTGCTGGAAAACTCTTTGTGGCCCTATGGCTTAGAGAACAAAAATTCAAACTACGCAAGTTGGAATTTAAGGCCTTTCTCATTCTTGACCCAACCTGTTTTCCTAGTACTTCAGACCAAAAGCTTGCACACCAACTATTAGCCTCATCTTTCTCCTTCCAGAACTTTGGACTCTGTCCCTCGGGTGCAAGGCTCTGGTAGGTGAGCTTTTGCTTCAGTTGCCTAGAACCAGCCCTCCCTTCCTCCCCTATTTCCATACTATGTCACCAGACCCATGTTTCTTCTCCACTTTCTAGCTCTACTTTCTCTGTTGTCTTTCCCATTGAAATGTAAGTTCCTCGAGGGCAGGGACTGTGTTGCTTGCTTGTAGGTGTTTATATTCCCAGAGTTTAGCACACTGCCTGTTATCATTATTTTGCATTACACCTCTTCAACTGTTAGCTGTTGTCTGATTTTCTCTTGAATTTGCCTGCCTCTCTAGGTTTGTACAGGCTGATCCCCATCTCTGGACCACTAAGACCATCTAGTCCGGCTCATGCCTGGGCAGGAATCTGTTATACAATATCACTGGCAAGTGGTCATCTGGCCTCTTTTTTGAAGACCTCCCATAAGGTTTTTTACTATATACCAAAGCAGAAACTTTTGGATTACTTTAATTATTAGGTTTTTTTGCCCTAATATTATGCTGAAACATATCTCTCTGTAACATCAATCGTTCCTAGATTTGCCCTCTAGTGCCAAGTAAATGTCTAATTCCTCTTCCCCATGACAACCTCCCCTCCTCCTGAAATCTTTTTCAGATTAAATATCTCCCTTGACCTCTGCCTGTTCAATTCAGTATCTGTTTATTAAGTACTTACTATATACAAGGTACTGTGTGCTTGTTGAAGTTCTTTTCTTCACTTCAAGGCCCAACTCAGGTACCACCTCTTCTATAAAGACTTTTCTGATTGTAATATAATATGTTTCTTGAGGGCAGGGACTGTTTTATTATTATTAGTTTTTGTTCGTTTGTTTGTTTTTGTAACTCCAGAGCCCAGCATAGTGCTGGGCACATAGTAGCCACTCAATAAATATTTGTTGATTGATTGATTGATTCTCTCAGATGTAATTTATCTCTCCCTCTTTAATTTTTTTCTGGAGCACCTTACCTGAATCTCTCCTTGCCCCCCATCACACACTGCCTTGTATAAAACTCATTTGCCTACATCCCTTCTCTCTTACTCCTGTATTGATTATAAGCTTCTTGAAGGCCAGGACTGTGTTTTCAATCTTTGCATCCATTGTGCCATGGACTTTACAGGCACTAGTAAATGTTTGCTGAACTGGAATTGAATTTAATTTGACCAGCCAATGTCCAAAGAGTCTTTTTATTGGGACAGGTTGGATCAGATATCGGCTGAACTGATTTTCTCCTTGAGAAGCTTAGATGGCCTGGTTCCAGATGCTTGCCCTGACCCCTAACTAGTGGACTGTGACTTTTTGGTTGGGAGATGCACTGCTAACGTGGCTATGGGCACAGAATTAGCATGGAATGGAGAAATTGACCTCAAGGTCATAGGTAGGAGAGATACTGAGTGTCTGCAGTGAGCAGGATAACAATGGTGAGTCTGAATGTCTGGACCATGGAAGGCTGGAGATTAATTTCTGCTGCCTTTACCTATCCCTTCCCATCTGACAAACTAGGATGGGGAAGTTGTGACCCTGACTAGCTGAGAGCTTATCCCTCTGAGATTTTCTTGATCTGAACTACCCTACTGTTGGGGCTGAGGAGGAATTCTAAACAGAGAAGGCTGATGATACACCATGGCAGGGACAAGGGACAGAGCCAGCTGTATGAAGGGGCTTAGAGAACCATGGGGAAAACCCCCCAAAACTGGTTCAGAGATATTGATGAGGCCTCAGGTGATAGGGGGAGGACAGAGGGATGAGGAAAGAGTTCATGGGGCAGAGTGTGAATTAATTTTTTTGAAAAGCATTTTTGAAAAATTTTCAGAATTCTACAGACTCTCTCATATCCGCCCCCTTTCTACTCACATGGCTATCATAATAGTTGTATGTATTTATTTATGTTATTTCCTCTGTTAGAATATTCATTGAGGGCAGGGACTGTTTTTGTTTTTTCTTTTGTATCTTTAG